GGAGGAGGAGGAGGAGGAGGAGGAAAAAGGAGGAGGAGGAGGAGGAGGGAGGAGGAGGAGGCGGAGGGAGGAGGAGGAGGAGGAGGAGGGGGAGGAGGAGGGGAAGGAAGAAGAGAAGAAGAAGAAGCGAAGAAGAAGAAGAAGAAGAGGAGGAGGAGGAGGGGAGGAGGAGGAGCGGAGGAGAGGAGGAGAGGGAGGAGGGAGGGAGGGAGGAGGGAGGAGGAGAGGAGAGAGGAGAAATGAGGAGAAAGAGGAGAAAGAGGAGGAAAGAGGAGAAAGAGGAGAGAGAAAGAGGAGAAAGAGGGAGAAGAGGAGAAGAGTGATGATGAGAGGAGGAGGAGGAGGAGGAGGAGGAGGAGGGGAGGAGGGGAGAGGGGGGAGAAGGGAGGAGGGAGGAGGGAGGAGGGAGGAGGGAGGAGGAGGAGGGAGGGGGAGGGAGGAGGGAGGAGGGGAGGGAGGAGAGGAGGGGGAGGAGGATGGAGGAGGGAGGAGGGAGGGGAGGATGGGAGGGGGATGGAGAGGAGGGGAGGAGGGAGGAGGAGGAGGGAGGAGGAGGAGGAGGAGGAGGAGGAGGAGGAGGAGGAGGAGGAGGAGGAGGAGGAGGAGGAGGAGGAGGAGGGGAGGAGAGGGAGAGGGAGAGGAGGAGGGAGAGGGAGGCGGAGGAGGTGGAGGAGGAGGAGGAGGAGGAGAGGAGGTAGGAGGGAGGAGGGAGGAGGGAGGAGGGGAGGAGGGGAGGAGGGAGGAGGGAGGAGGGAGGAGGGAGGAGGGAGGAGGGAGGAGGGAGGAGGGAGGAGGAGGAGGAGGAGGAGGAGGAGGAGGAGGAGCCTGGGCAGGAACCCAAGGGTGGCCCCCAGAGATGGGCCCCTTCGTCGCCCGGGGGCTCCCCTGGCCCACGCCGGATTGCGGGCACGGTTCCAGCGCAGTCGGTGGAGAGGTCGAGTCTCCCCATGGCCACCCGCGGGAGAGCGGAGGCGAAGATCGCGACAGGGCTCGGCTTGAATGGTGTTTTTGGTTTTTCCCGCGGGCCGCCCCCGCGCGGACTCCGCCCCGCAGCCAGGGCGGAGCGAAGGCAGAACGAGAGAGAGACCGAGAACAAAACGAATGCGGAAAGCATTGTTCAGCTCGAGCCCTGGATCACGAATTCCTCGCCGTCGCGGCCGAGCTGTCTGGGCAGATGCCCGCAGGCTCTGATCCATCTGCGCAACAGCCTCGGGCACTCCTGAGCGGTTGCGCTGCACGACTGCACACCCAGCCCAGCTGATGCCCGGGAGGCGCCCAGCGAAGGCGGAGCCGTCGGCGAATGGCATGGCATGCCCTCGAGTCGCCCCGAGTCGGGCCGATTCCACCAGTCGATCTCAAGCTCCTGGCAGCCGATCCCGCTCCAGAGGTGCAGCGGGTCGGGAAAACCGCCGCGCGCGAACTCTCGGCAACCACTGCTCATTCAAGCGCTGCGCCCGCCGCGCCTTCGCCACCGGGATCGGAGAGGCAGCGGCCCGCCTCTGGCTGGCGTGGGCGTCGCCCTCGTGCACCATAGTGGAAGCTCGTGCCGACCTCAGCCCTGCAGATTTTGCAGAGCCCACACGCTGCGAGACCGTGCCACCGCAGCCACTCCTGACACCAGTGCGTGTTGCTCGCGAGGGCCTGGGGAGATTTCTGCTGCCGCTTCGCCCAGTTGCGCGCCGACTCCCACAGCAGCGGCCGCAGGGCCAGCCAGCTGATCGGCTGCGCCTCGCGGAGGTCGCCGCGCACCTCCTGGGCCTCGCACGCCAGTGCCATGCAGTCGGAGGCACGCCAGGCGGCGTCTTTGGCGGAGACGGGCAGCCACGCCCGGGGCCGCGCGCACCAGTTCGCACGCCTGGCGCCCCGCGTCGGTGACAATCGCAGATGTCTGTCCTCGACGTGCCAGCCGCACCGCCCCCAGTGCCGGTGCAGCCACGCCCGCGGGGGAGATGGCCTGCGGCCACGGGTGCCAGAGGCGACCCGCCTGGCATTGCTCGGACGCGTGCACTTTTTCTCGGCGAGAAAAACAGGATCCTCCTGGACCCTCGAGCAAAAAAACGCGCACGAAACCGAAACATGCACGGGAGATGGACGCCCGAACCACGGCGAGCCCAGGAGGAGGAGGAGGAGGAGGAGGAGGAGGAGGAGGAGGAGGAAAGGAAGGAGGAGGAGGAGGAGGAAAGGAGGAGGAAAGGAGGAGGAGGAGGAGGAGGAGGAGGAGGAGGAGGAGGAGGAGGAGGAGGAGGAGGGAGGAGGAGGAGGAGGAGGAGGAGGAGGAGGAGGAGGAGGAGGAGAGGAGGAGGGGAGGAGGAGGAGGAGGAGGAGGAGGAGGAGGAGGAGGAGGAGAGGAGGAGGAGGAGGAGGAGAGGAGGAGGAGGAGGAGGAGGAGGAGGAGGAGGAGGAGGAGGAGGGAGGAGGAGGAGGAGGAGGGAGGAGGGAGGAGGGAGGAGGAGGAGGAGGAGGAGGAGGAGGAGGAGGGTGCGGAGGAGGACCATGGCGCCTGCCAAGCACGCCCCGAGGACTCTCCGCGGCGCCCGGCCCCTCTCACACGGCGCGCGCCCGGCGCTGCGCCGCGGCCCCCGCGTCCTGACGGCCGGCGGGTCCGTGCTCGGGAGGCGCACGCACGAGGCGAGCCGAAGTCCGACCGTGGCACCCCTGGCCACAGGTCCTTGGAAGTGGGCAGCAGTAGGGGAACGAGCAATGACATAAACATAACAACTCGGAGGTCCGCGCGGAATTCTCGGATCGGCGCTGGGGCCCCCTGGCGGCGCCCTGGCGCGCTCCGCGGGGGTCCGGCGCCGATCCGAGAAATCCGCGCGGACTTCCGAGTTTTTGTGTTTATGTAATTCCTCGTTTCCTTCAATAGGGCCGTTCAAACGGCCAGAAAAAGTAGGGCCATTCAGAGGGTCAATGGGCAGCTGACCGCGCTGCAGTGCATGCCGCCATGACACAGGCGGCGCGGCCATGCTGGTCAGAAGTGCGTAGAACCTGGACTGGGCGCTGGTGCAGGACTGTGGGGGGCCAGTCCAGTCCTCGTGGCAATTTCCCCGCACGGCTTTCGCGGTGGGCACACCGCGCTGGATGCCATGGTCAGCCCCCGACTGCATTGCGACAGCTCCTGGGTCGGGATGCCCTGCGCCTTCGCCGCTGCCTGCCTATCGGCGTAGATGCTGAGTCGGCGTCGGTCCCCCGAGGTTCCGCGCGTGTTGCACCTTGGCCTTGGGACCAACAAGCGCCCAGCGCGGCGCGAGGACTGCCTCGACCCCTGCGTCCAGGACGAGGTACGCGAGCCTCTTCTCGTGCACCGGTTGCAGTGCTGCGAGGCTGTGGATGACACCCGTGGTCGCACTGCTCGGAGGGCACCAACTATACACCAACACCGATCCTGGCCCATGATCACCCTGGGCCCAGGATCGGTGTATATGCCTTCTTGCGCAAGGCAGGAGGGCGTATACACCGATCCTGGGCCCAGGGTTATCCTGGCCAAGATCGGTGTTGGTGTATAGTTGGTGCCTTCCTAACTGCCCAGCTGCACTGCCACCTTCTCCTCCGTCCCGACCCCCCCTGGATAGCGATAGCATCCACGACGTCACGAGTGGCGAAGCAGGGCCTGCCGACCAGGGCAGCCCGGAAGGGGCTTGGTGGGGAGGAGCCTCGCTAATCAGGTCTCGCCAGAGCAGGGGCAGGAGGAGGAGGAGGAGGAGGAGGAAGAGGAGGAGGAGGAGGAGGAGGAGGAGGAGGAGGAGGGGGAGGAGAGGGGGAGGAGGAGGAGGAGGAGGAGGAGGAGCAGGAGCAAGGAGCAGGGGCATGAGCAGGAACAGGAGGAGGAGGAGGAGGAGGAGGAGGAGGAGGCCAGAGGGGTGCACCTTCCGCGAGACGGCGCCGTACCAGATGAACACCCTGGGGGGCCGCACAGATGGTGCACGACTGGGCCCTCAGCACCCGCATGGGGGAACCCTCCGCGCGCCCCGCCTGCAGACAGGAGGTGCTCGTGCTTCACCTCCCCGTAGGATTACGTCCGAGCGATGGCAAGATCTGCGGATGTCAATCACCGTGGTTGCTGCCGACGCGCCCATGGCCCGCGCGTGCCCCTGGAGCATGTGATGCACCTAGCCCGCTCGCTCTCAGGACTTCCAGCGGCCTGGGAAGGCGCTGTGCGGCTGAGCCTGCTCCCAGGCCGTGCAGAGGGCTTGCCGCACTGGGCTGCAGATCTTGAACAGCAGTAGCAGCAGCCCAATCGGCCTGAGGGGTCGCCGACGAGAGAAGGTGCGTCGACGGAAGTCTGGAGACGAGAGGTGGTTCCCAGCGAGAGCCGCATCTTGGGCAGAAACACGACGACAGAGGCCTGGAAGGAGGGCGGAGGGACGAGGAGGGAGGGAGGCCAGGAGGCGGCGAAGGCGCCGGCCCGTCCTCCACCAGTCCTCCGTTCTCTCCTCTGGTCGCCCTCGTCTTTTTTGTCGTCCTCCATCCAGTTTCCCTCTCGCTGTCTTCTCTCACTCTTCTCATCATCCTCCGTCTTCTCCTCTTCCCCCTCCTTTTCCCCCTCCTGCAAACACCCAGACATCCCACCTCGTGATTTGTTCTTTGGCCCCCAGAGCTCTGGACCCCTTCCCGGTGACTAGTGTTTCATCCCGAATCTTGTGGGCCCTAGGTCATCCCGAATCTTGTGAGCCCTGGGGCCCTGGGAGGGCGAAAAATGCAAAGACAGAGCCGCGGCGATGTTTGTTACCACGCGAGGGGGTCTGGGTCCCCTCCTCCTCTCTGCTCCCATCTTCTCCCCCATCCCGCCTGCACAGAAGGTCGGACCGAGGAAAGTAAGTTTCAGGTCGAGGTCGGTTCGGGGAGGGTGCCCTAATGCTTTTCGTGGTTGTCGGATGCTCTCGTGCATCCTTGGGGAGGGTACCCTCGAATGTCATTCAGTTTTGCCAGCGGAGGGTCTCATGTTCTTGAAGGATGGTATTATGTCCTAGGTCTGACCGTAACGCCTCCGCCCGTGCGAGGGGTCGACGGCGGCCTGAGCGACAAGAAGGTGGTCTTCACCGGCACGATGGAAGTGAAGCGCGTTGATGCAGAGAGGGCGGCCGAGGCAGCTGGCGCAATTGTTCTCCCAGACGTGTCTGCCAAGATGGATCTGCTTGTGGCTGGTCAGAAAGCTGGCTCGAAGCTCACCAAGGCCAAGGAGCTCGGGAAAGAGGTGTGGGACGAGGCAACGTTTAAGCGCGCAGCTGGCTTGTGATGCCTGCTCGTTGCACGCCGCAGGCGCCTCAGGGAGCCCGCTGCCGACGGGCTGGCCTGCTCATTCCCCTCCTGTTCATCAGCCCCCCGTGTCGTCCAGTATCCATCTCTCCTTTCCTTCCAGCCTCCCCCCTCATCCTCATTTTCCTTGTCCCTGTCCCACCCGTCCCTACTTCCTCCCATCCCCTCTTCCTCCCCCCTCCATCCGACATCCCCCTTCCCCTGCATTCCTCCCTCCCTCCTCCTCGTCATCCGACTCCTCCCGTCACCACAATTCCTCCTTTATCTCCCCTTCTCCTCCTTCATCTTTCCTCCCAGCCCTGCCGCCTCCCTCCCTCATGCATCTATCCTGCACACACCCCCAACCTTCTCCCTCCGGGTAAGTCCAGTCACGCTGTAGCAACCCCAAGAGGCCTCCACAAGACTCGGAGACCTGAAAACTTGCCCCCTCGGAAACTTCCGAAAACCTTGGGAAGCTCCCGAAGGCCTCCAGGAGCCTTCAAGAAGCCTTTGGGAAACGCAAATAAATCCGACGCGTGGTTTGGAAGCATCGATTCAAGACGCAAGAATACAACACGTAATATCACAGCCGACACAAAATGAAGGCCTCCGGAGGCCCCAGCGCAACCTCGCGGGAGCCTCCGGCAAAGACGCCCGCGATGACTTCCCAGGTCTTCCGACCACAGTTGGGCGACGCAAAAAAAAACGGAGTCGTCTGCGCCGACAGTGGCGCGCAAGTTGCCCGCGTAAGGTCGCGGGTAAGCGCCCTGGTCTCCAAGGTGGCGTGCTGCGCCGGCGGCCCGCGTGCGCCACCGCGTAAGGTCGCTATCTCGCGCTAGACCCGATTTTGATCGTCGCTCGTTCGGTGGTGCGCGCAGGGGGGTGGGGGATTGGGGGGGGCTTCTGAGAAGCACCCCTGCTTCTCAGAAGGCGCGGGCCTCGTCTACAGATGTAGGGCCGGCGCCTTCCATGGAGTACGGTATCCCAGAAACTGGAACCTATACATTACCAGCGGCGGGCCGCTATTCAATCCGAGAACTTTTTGAGGGTCGGGGACGACGTCGGAGTGCTGTGGTGTATACTATTTTCCCCGTCTTCCCGTGGAAACCACGAAAAAGGTATACACCAGGATCCCGTATACTCCAGGATCCGCTCTCTTGTGCGAATTGCAATGCGGGGCCGTAGAAAACGTCGGTGTATAGAACCCGGTCCTTTAGTATCCAATGCTTCCTTATCCAATGTTCTTGTCCAGCGCTTCCTTACCCAATGCTTCCTTATTCCTTATCCAACGCTTCCTTGTCCAGTGCCCCCACCGTAGCCTCCTTCTAAGAGGCCTTCCCCCCTCGCCCTGCCCCCCGGTTGTGCGCGCCGCCAAACGCAGGGGAAGGGACCCCAGACGCCCCTCGCGCCGTGGTACCGAAAGCCACGACGGGCGGCGTTTTTGTTGTTACCCCGAGTCTATGAATATCAGGAGGGAGAAAAACACAGACACAATTGACGCTCGATTCTCCAGAAAATATGGGAACACATGGGAAGTGGGGGGGAAGAGAAAAACCCAGAAGACATCTGGGAAAATGGGAAATCCGCTCATTCGTGTCTATTGATTGGTGTGTCCCAGGGCCCCTTCTTAAGAAGCGTCGGGGGGGGCGTCACCCCCGCCGACAGCTCCACATCGACCCCCGTCGCAGGCAGCCACCGCGCGCCGAAGGCGCCCTGACCACCGCCGCGGCGCGACGACGAGGCCAGGAGGGGTGGACCCCCCACGCTTGTTGAGAAGCCCAGGGTGCCCTTTTCGGTCCCTGGGTGGGGCCCCGGGGCCGTCTGAGGACGACCCCGGGGAAGAATCGCAGCGGCCTCCGGGAGGTGGCCTCCGGGAGGTCCAGGACAGGCCCCGGGCGCCCAAACGCCTCCGTCCCCGAGAGGCCCCGGAGATCCGACGCCGCGGTCTGCTCGCGGCGTGGTGCCCATGCGGAGGCCTGGGCCGCTTCCTGGGGGCCTGCTTTGCACCCCGAGTTCTTTTCTGACGGTCCCGCCCCCTGTGCTGAGGGCCCCTAGGGGCCAAACGTCATCAGAGATGGTTCGTCGTGTTTTTTGTTGCATCGCGCGGCTGCCAGGGGCCGGCCGCGTCTGAGAACGAAAACCAATGGAACACTGAAGTTGGCACACTCATTTCCAGAGGCCAGGGTTTCCTATGTCGGAGCCCCCCTCCCCGCGCAAAGGAAAATAGCAACAGACATAAGGAAAGAGACAACCATCAGGAAACAACGAGAAACCGAGACTATATTATCCCGGCAAAGCAACCTAACAGCGATGTGTATAAGCATGTCTGGAAGCATTCCCCTTAAGATTCAGGTGAGAATCCAGTTGTAGAATTCTGCTGTTCTCGCAGTCGCAGTCGCATTCGCAATGACAGTCACAGTGGCAACGGCCTTAGGATCCAATAGAATCCTAAGGATTCCTAGGGATTCCTAAGGCATCCTTAGGCATCCTGAGGAATACATAGGAATCCTTAGGAAACCTTAGGAATCCTTAGGAATCCTGATTCCTAGGGATTCCTGGGGATTCCTAAGGATTCCCTGGGAATCCGAAGGATTCCTAAGGATGCCTACGGATTCCCAAGGATTCCTGGGGATGCCTAAGGATTCCTATGGATTCCTACGGATGCCTCAGCCTGCCTCAGTTTCAGCCTCAGCCTCAGCCTGCCTCGGCTTGCCTCAGCCTCAGCCTCAGCCTGCCTCGGCCTCAGCCTCAGCCTGCCTCAGCCTCAGCCTCAGCCTGCCTCGGCCTCAGCCTGCGTCAGCCTCAGCCTCAGCCTGCCTCAGCCTCAGCCTGTCTCAGCCTCAGCCTCAGCCTCAGCCAGCCTCAGCCTGCCTCGGCCTCAGCCTGCCTCGGCCTCAGCCTGCCTCAGCCTCCCCTCCTCCCCCCCCCTTCCCTCCCGCCCCATTCAGCCTCACCTTGTCTCAGCTTCGGCCTGCCTCGGCCTCATCCTCAGCCTCAGCCTCAGTCTCAGCCTCAGCCTGCCTCGGCCTGAGCATGCCTCGAGCTCAGCCTGCCTCGCCTCAGCCTCAGCCTCAGCCTGCCTCAGCCTCAGCCTCAGCCTCAGCCTCAGCCTCAGCCTGCCTCAGCCTCAGCCTCAGCCTCCTCAGCCTCAGCCTCAGCCTGCCTCAGCCTCAGCCTCAGTCTGCCTTCAGCCTCGGCCTCAGCCTCAGCGTGCCTCAGCCTCAGCCTGCATCAGCCTCAGCCTCAGCCTCAGCCTGCCTCAGCATCAGCCTGCCTCAGCCTCAGCCTCAGCCTGCCTCAGCCTCAGCCTCAGCCTGCTTCAGCCTCAGCCTCAGCCTCTGCCTCAGCCTCGGCCTCAGCCTCGCCTGCCTCAGCCTTGCCTCAGCCTCAGCCTCCAGCCTCCTCAGCCTCAGCCTGCCTCAGCCTCAGCCTCAGCCTGCCTCAGCCTCAGCCTCAGCCTGCCTCAGTCAGCCTCACCTTCAGCCTGCCTCGCTCAGCCTCAGCCTCAGGCCTCAGCCTCGGCCTCAGCCTCAGCCTCAGCCTCAGCCTGCCTCGGCCTCAGCCTGCCTCGCCTCAGCTGCGGGGCATTCAAAATATGGCACAGGACTGGTGTTCTGGGAACACGAAGATCACGAAGTGGCCCACAGTTGACTCCGGGCAATCAAAATATCGTACAGGAGTTGTGTTCTGGGAACACGAAGAACACGAAGTGGCCTACAGTTGGCTCCGGGCATTCAAAATGTGGCCTGGGAATGGTGTTCTGGGAGCACGAAGAACACGAAGTGGCCTACAGTTGGCTCCGGGCATTCAAAATGTGGCCTGGGAATGGTGTTCTGGGAAGACGAAGAACACGAAATGGCCTGCAGTTGGCTCCGGGCATTCAAAATGTGGCTTCGGAAATTATAGGAATTTATAGGAGTCCTGGGGAGTCCCCGGATTCCCGCGGCACCCGTCCGGCATCTGCCCAGACCCCCCTGGGGAGTCATGATGCTTTCTTTTGAGACCACTAGAAACCTATCAGTCTTCGCTGTTAGGTAAATAAAGGTAAAAGGGAGGTTGGAACGCTAACATCCGGAGGTCAGGGTTCCCTACTGCGGAGCCTCCCTCCCCATGCAGTTGGAAATAGAAACGAACTCAAGGGAAGAGACAAACAAAAGGAGACAACGAGAAACAACGAGAAATAGCGGCGAGCAGAGATAAAGAGGGGGTGTTCAAACCTGCGGAGGTCCGGGTGTCCTATTTCGGAACCTCCCTCCCCGTACAGAGGACATAGAAACAAACATAAGGATCGGTAGACAAACACAAGGAAACTACAAGAAATAGCAAGAAACAGCGACGAACAGAGATAAAGAGGAGGGTTGGAACACAAGCCTCTGGAGGTCAGGGTCTCCTGTCTCGGAACCTCCCCATACAGAGAAACATAACAACACATATAAGGAAACATAGACAAACATAAGGAAACTACGAGAAATAGCAAGAGACAGCGACTAACTGAGATAAAGAGAGAGGTTGGAAACCTCTGGAGATTCGGGTGACAGCAGCAAGCAACTAGAAACATGGAGAAACAGCGACTATCAGAGATAAAGCGGTTTGAACACAAACCTCCGAAGGTTAGGTTAGGGTTCCCATTTTGGGAGTCTCTTCCCATAAGAAGAAGATGGAAACAAACATCCGGAAAGAGACAAACAGCAACTAACTGAGGTAAAGAAGGAGGTCGGAACATTAACTTCCGGAGGTTGGAACACTAACCTGTTCAACTTTTGCTACAGCATCGTCGTTATTGTCCCCTTCTCTTCGCCCAGCAGTGCGGCAACGCATGGTGATTGCTCGGTTTGCTCTCCGACCTCTCCGTGCTTGGGAGTCTCCGGCTCGTCATGGACATTTGCCTCTCCTTGTCCCCCGACGGCGCCGCGTGTGCCACGAGATCTTCTACCAGCCGATTGTCTCCACCCTCCCAACGCCCCTGGCAGGGGCGCGAAGTTAGTTTAAGACAGCACTCCCTCGGCGACCTCCTCGGGGCGACCCCATCGGCGGCCATTGGGGCGCCTCCTGGCTCTGTGGACCATCTTGCCGAGGTGCCTTCCGTTGAACATGCCATGGGTCTTTACTCTAAATAGGAAGTTGGGCGCCATGAGCAATTTGATCAGCGGCCCGCTAGTATGGAACCCTACTGCCGTGGCACGACAGGTGGTTCGACCCAGTCCGTTAAGTCTTGGCTTGGAAGCTGATTCTTCGAGTGCTCGAAAATCGCTGCATAGCACTGATGTTGTCGGCGCCAAATCCAAAATTTGTGACAACTTGTGGTAACTACTGGATTGGATGGATGGCCTTCTCCGGGGTTGATATTTGCTGCGCTCTGTCTTTTCGAATGCAGGTGGATCTGTCTGTGGCCCTACTGGCAGTGAGCACTCAATTCCACTATTCGCTCTTGCCTTCCTCTCGGTGTTATCAGGCCTTTCCAATCACAAATGTTGGTTGCGCGCTTGACATGCAGCTTATCATTCAGAATAAAAAACTCCCAGAAGTTATGGTTTCCTATTTCGGAGCCGCCCTCCCATCAGAGAGGAGAACGGAGACAAACAGCAGAACATATAGACGCACAGCAGGAAACGACGAGAAACAGCTGAGAAACAGTGACTTATCCAGGTAAGATGGAATTTAGAACAATAGCTTCTTGAGGTCAGCGTTTCCCACTTCGGAATTTGCCTCCCCATAGGAAGATAACAGGGGCAAACATATTGACAGAAGATAGCAACGAGAAGCGTGGAGAAACAGCTAGTGATAGCGATTAACAGAGATAAAGAGGGAGGTTGAAGCACCAATCCCCAGAGGTCAGGGTGGACTATTTCGGAGCCCCCATCCCCATACAAAAGGAAATCGAGCCAAACATGAGAAATGAAGCAAACATAGATAAACGTGCAAGGAGAACCAGCGACCAACAGCGATAAAAAGGGAGGTAGGAACACCAACCTCGGGAGTTTGAGGCGCCCCACTTCGACCCCCCCCCCCCCACGCAAAGGAGGACAGAGGCCAACGTGAGGGCGCAGAGGCAGACAGAAAAAAACGAAAGACACACCGAAACAGACAGCGACAAAGAGAGACAAAGTATGAGTCGACACCTCCTAAGGGATCAGTGGGATGCACAAACCTTCGGAAGATGGGTGTTCCTACTTCGGAACCTCCTTCCCCATACAAAGGAACGCGCGAACAAACAGACAGAGCAAAACACAAGGAGGCAACACTAAACAGCGAGGGCCTCGCGGCGCCTGAAACCTTGCAACGCGCGCGGGTGCGCTCGGCGCCGAGGGTTTCGTGGCAATGTCAAACCGTGATACACGCCCACGCTGAGGGATCCGCTGCGCTGTGAACATATCGTGGAACTCGCGGGTGCGCTCGGCGCCGAGGGTTGCGAGGCCTCTTGACGCCGTGCGACGCGTGCGCATATTCTAAAGGTTTCGTGGCACCTTGGAACAACGTGGGACCCTGTGCGACGCGGTATTTGATTCGGCGTGTTGAGACCAAGTGCGACGCGCGGATGGCCTCGGCGCCGAGGGATCCGTGTTACTTTGGCACCGCTTGAGGCCGCCATCGGCACTTACTGGTTGCGACAGATTGTGACATGCATACCGCTTTTGACACCGATGCGACACCGCCGCGCTTCAATTTCAAATTCGGGGAGAGTTTCAAGCTGGTTCGAGTGCCGATGGGCCGCCGCCCAGGCGCGCCAAGCGTCGCAGAAATTTGGTCACTTGTTGAGCCGCCTCGTCGGCTCGGCATGTGCGCAGCGCCCGATGTGATTGGACGCTGTCTTGGATATGAAGCGCACGCAAATGCTCAATCAAAAGTGCACACGTCAAGTTCCAATGCGCCCGGCACCGTATTCGATTGTTTTCCCATGGCAGTTTGTGGTCCCATAGTCTCATTTCGTATGTGTATATATATATATATGTGTGTGTGTGTTTATGTTGTCACCCGTTCCATGTATATGTGTCCTTTTGGTTCTTTCTGTACGGGTAGGTTCCCAAATTGGACGCTCGAACCTCCGGAAGTTAGTGTCTCAACATCCTTGACTCTCTTTGGTTTTTTATGCTTCCTTACGTTTACTCATGTTGTTGGTCGTTTGCTCATGCTCTTTTATGTTTGTGTTTTGTTCCGCTTCGCGAAGGTCCTGGGGCAGTAGCATCTGGAGGTTAGTGTTCCAACCTCCGAGGGAAGGAACCCGAACCTCCAGAGGTCAGTGTTTTCCAACCTCCGGACTCCAGGGGTCTGAGGACCACCACCCCGGCGCGCGAGGGGTCGGCGGACTGACGCTGCCGGCGTGAGGCGCTCCCGGGGGAGAGCGCGGGCCGCCCCCGCGGGCGGGGGCCGCGGGGGCGGCCGTGTGCCGCGAGGTGGACCGAAGCCCCAGCTCGGCCAAGTTGCTTGCAGCCACGCGCAGAGGGGCAGGGCTTGGTATCGCTCGGACGTGTGCGTTTTCCCTTCGGCGAGGACCATCGAGGAGCATCCTTGATCATTTGGCGAAAAAGCCACGCACGAAACCGAAAAAAACACAGGGAATGGACGTCCGAACGATGGCCAGTGGGGGTCTGAGCGCTTCTTAGAAGCACCCCTGCTTCTCAGAAGGCGCGGGCCCTGTCTATCGAGGTGTCGGGCCGCCGCTTCTCAGAGGCCGCCTCCTTCCAGGAAGCCCCACCCCATCCCTCGACCCCCTGGCGCGCGCCGCCCACGATTCGCGAATGGCCTTCCTTCGGCTCTTGAGGGCGCGCGGTTGCGGCCGCAGCTTCTGCGGGCCCGCGCCCGCTGGGTCTGGTCCAGCCCAGATCATCCGTTACCGGAAAAATCCAGGTACGAGCGGGCGCGACCGGTAACGGCGAAATCTAGTGCGTCAGCGGTCGCGACCAGTCGCGACCGACATTGTCAGATTGAAGATTCCCGATGATCCGTTACCGATCCGTTACCGACCGTTACCGACCGTTCGACTGATCGATCTGACGATGATCTGACGTCAGATCATTGTCAGACCAACAGTTCGATCTGACAATGACCATTGTCATATGCATTTCCCGTATGACAATGACCATTGTCAGATATATTTTCAGTCTGACAATGATCATTGTCAGATGACCATTGTCAGAGGCATTCCTTTCGAGGAGAAGGAGAGGAAGGAAGAGGAAGAGGAAGAGGAAGAGGAGGAGGAGGAGGAGCAGGAGGAGAAGGAGGAGATGATGGCGGTAAGGAGGAGGAGGGTGAAGATGCGAACGTGCGAACGTAGGTAACGTATCCTGCTCCTCCTCATTCCTCTTATCCCCCTTGTCCATCCCTCCCCAGACGCTCCTTCAATTCCTCGGACCTCGAAGCACGGGAATTTTCAATTTGTTCCGAGTCGCATCCAGCCGTACAGACGAGGTCGTCAGAAATTGACGTCAAGCGAAAACGTGCGAAACCATAGCATTTTAGACAACATCTATCCTCAACTAACCCCTTGTCAGAATTTCGAAGCAAGTCCAGCCGTGACAACAGTCGATGAAGCCAAAACATGACCATGATTGAAAACTGAGAAAAACAAAATTCCTCGTTCCTCGCTCTGCAGACTGAGACCGCGCATTTTTCACATGCAGGACGGGGCCCCGCAGTGCGGGGCGGCGGAGCGTGCGCGTCTCGCGCACCAAGTCGACTGCGCTTCTCGAGCGCACAGGGCCTCTCTTGCCCCCCTCGTCCTCTTCCTCAACTTTTTTCACCTTGATCATCTCACGGCGTAGGCTCCTGTCAATCCTCTTTCCTCCCCTCCCGTGTCCTCCTGCTCTTGCTTCCCTCTCCTCTTCCTCCTCCTCTTCCTCCCCCTCCCTCCCTCCTCCTCCTCCTCCTCCTCCTCCTCCTCCTCATCCTCCCTCTCCTCCTCCTCGTCCTCCTCCTCCTCCTCCTCCTCCTCCTCCCCCTCCCTCCCTCCTCCTCCTCCTCCTCCTCCTCCTCCTCCTCATCCTCCTCCTCCTCCTCCTCCTCCTCCTCCTCCTCCTCCTCATCATCGCTCACCTTCAATCCTGCCTCTATCTCCATTCTCCCTGTCCAGCCTCTTTTCCGCGCGTCCCTATCCATCCCCCTATAGAAAAGAGCTGGCCGAGCTGCTGGCTTAGGCTCCAGCCTAGGCCCTAGGCCGAAACGCTCGAGGAGGAAACCACAGGCGGTGGAGATGGGAGGTATAGTGGGACTTAACAAAATAAGGTCAGGGAGGAGGAAGGAGAAGAGCATGGAGATGACGAGGATATCGTGAGGGCGGTAGCATCAATGCAAAGGGTTGAGGACGAAGGGGAAACAGGCCAGGAGAGTTCTCCGAGGACGAATAGAGGAAACGTTTGGAGGGTGGACGAGGACAGGGGCATGGAGTTGAGAAGGTGTTCCAATTCGAGCTTTTCGGCCTAGCTATTCTCTCTCTCTCTCTCTCTCTACTCGACGCAGCCGCGGCAATACTGCAAACCCGCTAGCCTTGCGGCCCCCTGGCTGATGCAGAGCCCCTCTCTCTCTTCGTCCCTCGCCGTCGTCTTCCCATGTCCAACCTTCCCTCCTCCCCCCTTCCTCTCCTTCTCCTTCTCCGCCTTCCTCTCCCCCTCCTTTTTTTGTTGGATTGCATACAATACTATATGCGCAACCAAAGGGGGGGGGGGGGGCGAAAGTCCAAACTATACCGACCAATGCGCACGCGCTCGCACACCTTCAATGGGACGCTATAGATCGAGGAACCCATGGCACAACCTGCGGCAGTCTTGGTTATAAACCGCTGCCAGTCCTCGGGCTGGTAACACCAGACCCAGCGCGGGTTCAGCGGCCCCATTCTAACGAGGTGGTACATCATGTGCTGTTTATTTACTAAACTGTATTTAAACCTCACGGGCACGCTGGTCAGAGCTCTTTGGGCAAGGGACTGGTACGTGATCAAGCATCCATCTGCGGCGGCCCTGAGACGCGAGCTCTCGTCGTCACTCAAAAACATACCACCATTCTGAACGACGTCGTAAAACCGCACCAAATTCTTCATCATCAAAGTGCGGGTCTTGAGGCGCACGTCTGCCCCGCCAGGCCCTGCATCCTGGTACTCCCGTGCCAGGACCAAACCCACGCGCGCCAAGGACCGAACCTCGGCCGCCTTGATGCTGCTTGACAGCGATGGGAAGTCTGAGCGCGGCGCATCTGGATCCACAATCATTGTAATTTTGAAATTGGACAGCCGATGCTTCAAATCCAACTCTCGGTATATCTCTTGGATGCGCCCCCAAACTTTGGAGACGCGGGCAGCAATGCTGCCGCGCTCCTCTTCGTAGATAATCTCGTACAGTACATTCGCCACGGCGTGGCTTGCCACGCCGAGGTCTACTGCGTGCATGATATCCAGGGCAAGCATATACACAGATACACCCCAAACTGAGAACAGGGGATGGTCGGCGTCGAAACCTCGCTCGTGCAGTGTCCAATGGCTGGGGTCCCCATCTGGATTTGCAAAATTGTTCCAAGGGTTGTCGCTTTTGTTAGCTGTGCAAAGCCAGCAGAATTTGTCCGACCCTGCAGCTGGCATCCCGAGACTCGAGAAATATTCCAAATCTCCCAAAACTGAATGGATAAACGCTCGAAACGGCTCCTCCCGACTACATAAGAATGTGCCAGCGAGTTGCTGGCGAGAGGCATCTAAAGGACCGCCTTTCCAATCCACCGCTCCTCAATGAAGAGCCCCCCATTCAGGATGTGAGCCCGACCCCTACATCCGGCCACGACGGCGACGACGACGCCGACGACCTTCGCAACATCCCTGGCGCGCCATAGCCAATGGAAGACAGGGAAAACAACTCACCCGTCCCTGGCCCCCCATCCCGCGAGTCTCTCTCCTACCACCCTTCACCGAGGCCCCCCATTCCCCAATCCCTTATGTCTGCGCAATCTCTCCTCATCCTGGAGCCCCCTCTGATTTCTAAACCTTCTACCCCCAGATCATCCCTTATCTCCTCTCCTTTCCATCACCCCCCAAAGCCCCTCTCCTCCCCCATCGCCTCCAATCCCATTCCATCCCCAACCCCATCACCCTCTCATTTCCCCCCGCGACCCTCCACCCACCTATGTCACGTCGCACCGCTGGCCGCCGAGCCTCCGAGCCGCCAGGCCAGAAGAAGGGGCAAGGGAACTAGACGGAATAGGGGTGACATCGGAAGGCGAGGGAAGGGGGCAGGGAGGGGGATGGGAGAGAGCGAGGGGGAGAAAGGGGCCAGGCGAGAGGGAGGAAGGGGAAGGGCGAGGGAGTGGGAGAAGGACGGGCGCAGTGGAACAGAAGAACCGCACGGAAGGAGCAGGGGGGGGAGAAGAGGACAGCCGAGGTCCAAAGTGGGGGGGCGGATTTGGCATGACGAAGCCATATTAATCGCGCGTGGGATGCCTGCCCTCGGCCAGGGCGTTGAACGACCATTTTAACATCTCCCAGATTTCGACCCAAGTATCCACCCCGTGCCTCGTCCTCTTACAGGAAACACTGAGCGGGCACGAAATTAAATTCAGGGTCAACGCCTTGGTCTTACCCACGGCCCCCAATCCCGTCATGGATACTGAAGTAAGGGAGTCGTTGCATAAAAATTCGGCTCCGTCCCCGTGGATTCGAAGGGGCACCAAAAAATCCTCTCTGGTCTTCTTGGGGAGCGTCCATGCTGGGTGGTCGCGAAACCGACGGTCTGTCCTGAGATTGCATTATTAAGTGGTAGCGGGGCGTCGGGCAGGTGGAGGGCGCACCATTTCTATCGTGGGTGGGACCAAGTCCCTCTCCCATGGATCAAAACCAATACCCCTTCAACTCTCCAGACCCCGACCAGACGAAACAATGTAAACAAAAAAACGCGGTCCTGGATTGGTGCTTCCAGAAGTCGGCCAGCCCGTCCACGGCGAAAACCGTGTCCCACTCGTCGCGATGATGGTGGTACAAACTAGCGAACCACTCGTGCGGCAACAACGCGGCGCAATGCATGGGCTTCACGCTCGCACTTTTCTTATCCCACCCTGAAACACTGAAGGTGTACGGTTCGGGCAGATCAGAGTCGCCGAATTTCCGCATCAAGTCCCGATGGATATTCCCAGGAGTTGCCCCCCACGTGCCCAATGAGGCCAACAGTTGGACCTCTTCGTGACGGAGCCCGCCCAGGTGTGCTGCGTGGGCCAGCCTTTGCACCTCGGTGGCGGGCACCGTCCCCCATGCCCAGCTCATCAACAACTTAGTTCCCAGTTGAGAAAACTCGGGACCACGCGGAGCCAGGGGATACGCCTCTGCAACGTCTCCCTCCTCATCGTACGACAAGCGCCTGGCATTATGCTTCTTTGGAGGCATGGCTCCAAAGCTTCTGAGCCCAGGGGGGGCCTCGAGC